TACTTCCATTTCTAAAATTAGCATATATCAAGAATTATCACTGCAGTAAAGTTAAATTATATTTACCAAAGAACAGAAGAACCTTCATGTTATCGGTCAGCAGAAAGTTGAAGTACAGAGAAATATAAAGCAGAGTTAACCAGAGAAGGAGCTGCTGGAATGTGATGCTGGAGGTCGCTTTTCCAGCTTTTATACCCGGGCGCTCACCAAGCTCCGCCCACTCAAAGTTATCTCCTCCCTCCCTTCCTTGCCCGCCCTCGCCCACTCCTCTCTCTCGTGATATGTCCGTCCAGCTTATGAAGGGACGGACATAGGCTGGACGGGGTAGGCATAAGTTGAATGATTTAAGAGATATTATTAATTAGTTACTACCTCCCTCTTCACCCTCTCCCCATGTCTCACGGATTCAATTCTGGTCAAGTGTGAAACATTGGTTGACATGCCCGAAGAACTTTTTTGCCAAAAGTATTTGCTTGAGACCCACACAGTAGTTATAAACTCGCCTTGGAAATAGGCACATATGGCAAGTCAGTGAGGCTGAGTCACTATCAGCATATCCCAACCTATCCTCCTGTTTAGATAGTACTTTTTGTAACTATGTGCACCATAGTACAAACACTGACGTACTAAGCAATTACATAGTTTACTAGACTTTGTACTAGTCACTTTATAGAGTCCGAAAAAATTAATTAAAAGCAAACTTAAATATTCCTAGGCTTGTTATAGCACACATATGTACCAGGCATGAGCTAGCGTGTATTAGGCCTAGGATAGTTAGGCTAAGTTAGTTTAGTTTGTCTTTCCATCATAAGTAGTAAATCGTTTTCCGGTTTGTTGATATTCAGTAGTACCAATTTCTACTTTCCAATTGTATTGTACATCGGTGTATGTATTATGGTCCTCATTCTTCCTATAAGTACTACCAGAACAGGAGGATGGGCTGAGTATTCAGCTTGTAAATTCAAAGACAAACCATTATATAACTCACTTGAACACTGCATTTTTGAATGTGAATCTGTATAATATTTTAGACCTCCTGGCCTGTTGTACAATCAATTATATAATTACGTCGTTGAATCTGGTACATTTTAAGACATTCTGACAATTTATCCCAAGTTTGCGTGTCCATTCTAAAGAATAAAGAACGATAATTTTATTAATTTATTATTATTAAATTTTTAAGATTCATATTTCACGAATCCATCCCTGCCGTGTGGGGGTAGTGAACAATTGAACGTTTCATTTACAAATTCGTAAACTGAAGCATGTAATATATATGATGTAGTAGAATGTACCCTCCTGAAATATACATGTGCTTCAGTCTACAATTTAGGCAAATTGTCTTGTGTATGATCCTCTGTCGTGTGCGGTAGGGAATACCAACAGCACCTCGCTGTAACAGGACTTAGTTGAATTACTGTGATAAAGAAAAATTCTAAATTTTGTCAATAAAGATGGTAATAATAAGGAAAAAAACGGAAGAGGGGCCTAAGCAAGGTGGGGAGGAGGACGTGCGAAGGGGCAAGGACGAGGGAAGGGGAATGGAGGGGAGTGGGAGAGACGGAGAGGATGACTGATGTGTGTGGGGGGGGGGGGTCTCGTGGCTGACGAGTATCTCAGATAGTTTAGACTCAGGTGTTCAAAAAGGTGAGATGGATAATATTATGTATCAGGGAAGATTATTAACAGTTGGTGCCGAGCATAGAAAGAAGGTTAGGTGAGATCCGTCTATTCTTGAACATGATTCTTAATATTGTATTGTGGGCTATTTAAAAATCCTCTTACGGTACAAGAATAGTTGGAGGACCAGAAGCAATTTGCAGAAGTGTGTTGTTAAGGTTGTAACACACTCAATTCACAGTGGAATATGAGGATTTTTTTTTTATGTTTGTAAATCACGGCGCAAGATGGACAAATGAAACTTCCAGCTCAGTTGCTCGTCAATTACTATACCCAGTCCGTCCTCATCAACAAAGGTCAAATGTTCGTTAATCCAGCCGGCAAACCTGTTTATAAATGAAGACACGGTTTACACGCGCCTCAGAACTGATGACGTATGTACTTGTATATACTCTCTTCGCTGACGTCCTCTACTCGAATATCAAGATTGTAAATGCTTCACCCACGTACTACAAACACAAATCTAGTGGTCTTTCTAGTGGTCAAATCTAATCCACTTTGCCTAGTGGACCAAACTCTCACAAGTCAAGCCTGGCCTCGGGCCGGGCTTGGGGGAGTAAAAGAACTCCCAGAACCCCATCAACCAGGTATCAACCAGGTAACAAATACTCGCCAGCAGAACCTAAATACCTAACCTAACCAATGCCTAATTATACATTGAATTTTTTTGTATAATAATATTAATTTATATATGAGAATAAACCTATTTTTATTACACAGTGTGTTAAAATTGATGACAACGTCTTGAGGGACGGCGGCTGCGCTAACGAGCATGGCCTGAGGACTGGTTGAGGATATAACATTTGTTGTTGAGGACGGGTTGTACTTGTTGATGAACTTGTCTTTGTTTATAATTTTTCATTTGATCTTCCTCACCTGGAAGGAGCGGGTCATTAGCGGCCAGGTGAGTGAGTGTAGTCAGTTAAGGCGTACCAGTCATGTCAGTTACGCAAACAGCTGTACTCTCTGGGTTCCAGTCAACTGCTGAGAGGGTGTTTATGTGTGTGTGTGTGTGTGTGTATATATATATGTCGTACCTAGTAGCCAGAACGCACTTTTTGGCCTACTATGCAAGGCCCGATTTGCCTAATAAGCCAAGTTTTCCTGAACTAATATATTTTCTCTAATTTTTTTCTTTTGAAACGATAAAGCTACCCATTTCATTATGTATGAGGTCAACTTTTTTTTATTGGAGTTAAAATTAACGTAGATATATGACCGAACCTAACCAACCCTACCTAACCTAACCTAACCTATCTTTATAGGTTAGGTTAGGTTAGGTAGCCGAAAAAGTTAGGTTAGGTTAGGTTAGGTAGGTTAGGTAGCCGAAAAACATTTAATTCATGAAAACTTGAATTATTAGGCAAATCGGGCCTTGCATAGTAGGCTGAGAAGTGTGTTCTGGCTATTAGGTACGACATATATATATATATATATATATATATATATATATATATATATATATATATATATATATATATATATATATATATATATATATATATATATATATATATATATATATATATTATTAAATATGACCGAAAAAGTAAGATTAATAATTCTAACACGAATTTTCTCAATCTTTCGTACATTTCGTTTCACTGTTGGAGGTAAATCAAAAATCAATTCTCCAAAATTCATTTTTATTTCTAGTCTGACGCGACACGAGCGCGTTTCGTAAAACTTATTACATTTTCAAAGACTTTAGTTCACAAATACACAACTGAATAGAACTTACGCATCTCCGATTTTTTATCTACATTTGAGTGAGGTGGAAGGGGTGATGTGGCATTAACACAAGACAGAACAAGATGTGGTATTAATAGGGTATTAATTTCATCAACACAAGACAGAACAAGAGTATTAATAGGGTATTAATTTCATCAACACAAGACAGAACACGAAACAATGGATATTGAATAGAAGTGTTTGTAGAAAGCCTATTGGTCCATATTTCTTGATGCTTCTATATTGGAGCGGAGTCTTGAGGTGGGTAGAATATAGTTGTGCAATAATTGGCTGTTGATTGCTGGTGTTGACTTCTTGATGTGTAGTGCCTCGCAAACGTCAAGCCGCCTGCTATCGCTGTATCTATCGATGATTTCTGTGTTGTTTACTAGGATTTCTCTGGCGATGGTTTGGTTGTGGGAAGAGATTATATGTTCCTTAATGGAGCCCTGTTGCTTATGCAACAGGGCACAACCAAACCATCGCCAGAGAAATCCTAGTAAACAACACAGAAATCATCGATAGATACAGCGATAGCAGGCGGCTTGACGTTTGCGAGGCACTACACATCAAGAAGTCAACACCAGCAATCAACAGCCAATTATTGCACAACTATATTCTACCCACCTCAAGACTCCGCTCCAATATAGAAGCATCAAGAAATATGGACCAATAGGCTTTCTACAAACACTTCTATTCAATATCCATTGTTTCGTGTTCTGTCTTGTGTTGATGAAATTAATACCCTATTAATACTCTTGTTTTGTCTTGTGTTGATGAAATTAATACCCTATTAATACCACATCTTGTTCTGTCTTGTGTTAATGCCACATCACCCCTTCCACCTCACTCAAATGTAGATAAAAAAAATCGGAGATGCGTAAGTTCTATTCAGTTGTGTATTTGTGAACTAAAGTCTTTGAAAATGTAATAAGTTTTACGAAACGCGCTCGTGTCGCGTCAGACTAGAAATAAAAATGAATTTTGGAGAATTGATTTTTGATTTACCTCCAACAGTGAAACGAAATGTACGAAAGATTGAGAAAATTCGTGTTAGAATTATTAATCTTACTTTTTCGGTCATATTTAATAATATATGTCTACAGGAAAGACTGCTACCAAAATATACTATATATATATATATATATATATATATATATATATATATATATATATATATATATATATATATATATATATATATATATATATATATATATATATATATATATAACAAAGACGGGTCTTTATTGCGTAGATGATGTTCTTTGTTTTTTTATTCACTCATTCTTGTTTTGTATATTATAGATGCACCTGAAATTTGTCCTGGTATTTGGTACTATTGTCAATAATCATCAATGTTCCTAATTTCACTTTACCTTATTATCTGTACTTTTTATTTTGCGGACAACCAACCTTGTTTTCTATGTAATTTTACAAAATACTGCTAGCCTAATATCGTAACGTGAGCTTAGCTTAAAAACTGGACAAGGACATTGTTCAGCATTTACCAAATAACATACCGACCACCTCACAGCGATATGTAACTTTTTAGATCAAATAGGTACGTGAGTTAAAACAATTTAAAATTCATCATTCAAAACTTTTATTATATATTATTAAAGACAATCATCGAGAAATGAGACACAATTGTCATTCGTATAAATATTTACAAAAGTGCAAAGTCAACGTGTAATTCTTTCCTGACTCGAATCATTGTAGCAGAGAGACAGTCAAGTGACAGAAGACATGAGACAAAGAAGGACATTTTAAAATGGAGTTCCATAGGCAGCGGAGGGAGCAGATGGAGCAACATATCCGTTGCTGGCACCATTTCCATTGACACCGTTGCCATTGGCACCATTGCCGTTACTGGCACCATTTCCATTGCCGTTCAATCCGTAACCATTGTTACCGTTGCTTCCATTTCCGTTTCTTCCGTTACCGTTGGCTCCATTAGCATATCCGTTTCTGGCACCATTCCCATTCACGCTGTTGCCATTGGCCCCGTTGCCGTTACCGGCACCATTTCCATTGCCGTTCAATCCGTAGCCATTGTTACCGTTGCTTCCATTTCCGTTTCTTCCGTTACCGTTGGCTCCATTAGCATATCCGTTGCTGGCACCATTTCCATTTACACCGTTGCCATTGCCGTTACCGGCACCATTTCCATTCCTTCCATTGCCGTTGGATCCATAACCATTGTTACCGTTCTTTCCATTTACGCCATTTCCGTTCCTTCCGTTTCCGTTGGCTCCATTGCCATTTCCATAACTGCCACCGTTACCATTACCGTTGCTAATGCCGTTGGTGGCGGGACCATAACCATAGCCAACGTCGGGGACGACGCCGATGAGTTCGTTTACGGAGTAGAAGTTCTCAGCCTGGGAACAGTCAACGTTGAACCACCAGTCGCACACCAGGTACTGCTGGTTGAAGATGGTACCGTTGGGGCACAGGAAGGAGTCCTTCTGGCGTCTGACGGCGCGGTCCTGGCAAATGTGGAACACCTGGCAACGGGCCTCAGGGTCGGTATCGGCGTAATAGCCAGCCACTGCCTGGGCGTCACAGGAGAAGTCAGTGTCTGGTGGAGAAGCCAAGACAGGGTAATCTTCCCCGGGGACGCCACCACCGGGGATGTTCTCCTGCAGAGCAACCAGCTCGGCATCTAGTCCATAGGAACCTGTCGGGGGACCGTACCTATTACTTGGGGGAGCTGAGTATCCATTGCTTGGGGCAGCTCCGAACCCGTTGCTTGAAGTTTGTCCAAACCCATTACCTGAGGCTGCACCGTTTCCATTACTTGCAGGTGTTCCGAAGCCATTGGTTCCTGGAGCTGTGTAACCATTGCTTGGAGCTCCATTAGAAGCGCCAAATCCGTTACCAAAACCTCCATTTGGGGCTCCGTAACTATTTGAAGGTCGCTTGTCTGCGATGGACAATCCCAGCAGGGCTGTAAAAGACATAAATATAGCTTATAATAGTTTACAATTTCAAGATTTTTCTAAATGATCTTTCCATCCCTCGAAAATTTAAACATAAAGAATCAACATTGCAATGAATATATGCTTTATTTACCAGTAAACAGCAGAACCTTCATGTTTGTCGGTCAGTAGAAATATGAAGTAGAGAGAGAGAAGTGGAGATAAGAGTCAACCTGAGAAGAAGCTGCTGGAATACGATGTTGGAGGTCACTAGTCAAGCCTTTATACCCGGGCGCTCACCAAGCTCCGCCCACTCAAAATTATCTCCTTCCACCCTCGGCCACCCATCGCCCTTTCACTCTCCCTCACGATCTCAAATTTTAAGGTCACTCGAAGTAGGAGCTAGTGTGCACTACTTCGTCGTCCTTTAATATTTAAATTTGTTCTAGTAGCTGCGGCTAATTCGCGTACCAAACACTGTTATTATTATATAGTAATACATTGTAACTACGATAACATTCCATGATGCAACATACAAATTTCAGGAAGTAATTAGTATGACTATGTGTTGCCTAAAATAGATTTAGCGATGACACTTGTTATGAGTAATCTGATTGTAACATCATCAGTTTCAAGAATTTAAGAAATTGTTATTAAAGTTTGATTTTCAAATTTATAAAGATTTTTTTTTTAATTAAAACAATGTTGATGTAACAATACTGATGTAGTCACGTGCATCTTGTAAGCAATAATTGTTATGCTAAAAAATATAATATATACTAACGCAATATTTATTTATCTAGAATTTATAATGACGAATATTGATATTATTTCTCAGCTAATACAACGAACTATTATCTAGCGGTTGAAACTAGTAACATCTTAACCTAATACAGTATTTATTAAATAAGTATATAATAAAATCTTAAAAATTAAGGCGAGCCATGTTAATATTTTACTAGATAACAGTAATAAGAACAATAATCTTGAGATGCTCTTAGGAATGTAACACGGTGCTTCATAAGATCCTGCTCAATGTGTCGTTTGATAATTTATTTAACCAATAAAAGTGTAGGTGTATTACGAAAGTTGAGAGGTAATTCGTGCAATGTGTGACAACCCCAGACATGGATGAACTATTTAGACTGGCAGAAATGAGTAGTATTTAGTATTTTCCCCTTCTAGTGTATGTACCTTGCGAGTATATTAAACTGTTTATATAACTGTATGCAAATAGTGACATTTATCATTTATTTGTGTCAGTGAAGACAAGCAGTTGGTGCCGAACACAGAGTGGACCAGTGTAGTGTGTTTGTTCTTAATTAATATTATTCTTATTAATGTCTTGTGGGAATCGGACAGTCTTACTTTAGAAGCATGGCTGGTGTATCACTGGAAAATATAGTACAGATAACTCCAGACACTAACATCAGAGTTGAACATGAAAGATTTTCAAAGTGAACATTATTTTAGTATTAACCTTTTAAGTTCATGAACAGATAATTCATAATATACAATTATCAGCAGTTACAAATGCTTAATGATGAAATTAGTATAATAGCATGTATTTTAACAAGTGAGGATAGTCCACTAGTTTGAGTAGTCATGAGTTGATAATCATCAAGATGGTCCATCAGGAAGATGGTTGAGACATATGAATACAGAAGAAAATGTAAGAATATCCATTTTGGGGTCGAACATAGCCTGAACATATGCTGGTATACTCCTCTAAGCCGCGACCGTCTAAATAGTGCATTTTTAATTTTTCTTACTGTACAATCAAACAGTATTTTGTAAACCAAAATTTATAACATAATCATTTATTTTATGTACAATCAGGACTAGGTTAAGTGTTATGGTAGTTATTTGTATATACAGTTCGAGGGTGAATGAACACTACGAGAGAGGCGCCTCGAATTTAAGGTTGTGAAAATCTGCTCGGGAAAATTTGAACATAATTCTGAGTCCTTTGTAAAGTTTTTCATTCATGATTAGTACTCATGTACTAATCATTCACAGTGAAGAGCCAGTGGTGCCATAGGGACAATCAGAGAACATTATAAACATCAGAGGTCCACGGTTGTTCAACATCCTCCCAGCGAGTATAAAAAATATTGCCGGAACAACCGTTGATATATTCAAGAGAAAACTAGATAGTTTTCTTCAAGTGCCGGACCAATCGGGCTGTGGTGGATATGTGGGCATGCAGGCCGCGCCAAGCAACAGCCTATTCGAGAAAGTTCTCACAAGTCAAGCCTGGTCTTGGGCCGGGTTTGGGAAGTAGAAGAACTTCCAGAACCCAAAGGCCGGGCTTGGGGAGTAAAACTCCCATAACCCCCATCAAGTTGGTATTCAATCGACGGAATGATTACTGGAATTATATCCACCGAGGTATACTCGCTTCTCAACACACACATGCACTGAGAGCTTTATTGAGGCCGCCGGAGAGGGCTAGGCTAACCTCCTCACATGATAATTATAAGGTCAGCTAGTTACAGATATTTTTTCAGTACATAATTTATGTATTAACAATAAATTATTATACACTGAAGGAAGGTCTTTTGCTAATACATAAACTGTTTAGGAATTGGTGTATTATACGATCATAGAGGAGCTGATGTTTATTAGTATTTGTTTTCACACTTCTCGGCTTATTTCTTAGTCTCATGTATATATAATTATATACACTTGAGTTAGCACTTGTTCAGGCGTGAAGTTGCCTGAAAAGCTTTGCGTAATAGTGGCTTTATAGATTGTGTAACTCCTGTACGTACAATGTATGCATTACTCCTTTGTTCTTTGTATTCATTCTTTTGAATAAATCGTTTTGTAATGTATAACTGTTGCCTAGCCATTAAAGTGGTCTGACCCACTTTATAATTAACGAGCATTTAGTCAACGTTTTGAGGAAGGACGCGTTCATGGGACACTGAATAGCAGGGGGGGGGGTCTTTGTACATAGATTTATAATCAAGTTTTGTATGAACTTTAACTTTTTCGATCCTTGGTAGTTTCAATAAGGGTTAATGTATCTTAATTTACATAAACTATATTTGGGTATAGATGACCATGTTATGTATTCAATTTAACATAACATTGCTTACTGAAGATCTTAATTTTAGCTGAGCTGAAGCCTGGAGAAGACATCGTTCAGTATGTGGCTAGTAGCCTAACGACCGCTTGAATGCGACAAGTAAACTTTCAAAGAAAATAAGTACGGGAATTGATACAGTTATATTCAGCATTTGAAACTTTTATTATATAATTTAAAGGCGTTCATTGACAAATCACGCTAAATTGTCATTCGTATAAATATTTACAAAAGTGCAAAGTCAACGTGTAGCTCGTTCCTGACTCGAATCATTGTAGCAGAGAGACAGTCAAGTGACAGAAGACAAGAGACAAAGAAGGACATTTTAAAATGGAGTTCCATAGGCAGCGGAGGGAGCAGATGGAGCAACATATCCGTTGCTGGCACCATTTCCATTCCTTCCATTACCGTTGGATCCGTAACCATTGTTACCGTTACTTCCATTTGCGCCATTTCCGTTCCTTCCGTTACCGTTGGCACCATTAGCATATCCGTTGCTGGCACCATTCCCATTCACACCGTTGCCATTGCCGTTACCAGCACCATTTCCATTTCTTCCATTGCCGTTGGAACCGTAACCATTGTTACCGTTCCTTCCATTTACGCCATTTCCGTTCCTTCCGTTTCCGTTGGCTCCATTGCCATTTCCATAACTGCCACCGTTACCATTACCGTTGCTAATGCCGTTGGTGGCGGGACCATAACCATAGCCAACGTCGGGGACGACGCCGATGAGTTCGTTGACGGAGTAGAAGTTCTCAGCCTGGGAACAGTCAACGTTGAACCACCAGTCGCACACCAGGTACTGCTGGTTGAAGATGGTACCGTTGGGGCACAGGAAGGAGTCCTTCTGGCGTCTGACGGCGCGGTCCTGGCAAATGTGGAACACCTGGCAACGGGCCTCAGGGTCGGTATCGGCGTAATAGCCAGCCACTGCCTGGGCGTCACAGGAGAAGTCAGTGTCTGGTGGAGAAGCCAAGACAGGGTAATCTTCCCCGGGGACGCCACCACCGGGGATGTTCTCCTGCAGAGCAACCAGCTCGGCATCTAGTCCATAGGAACCTGTCGGGGGACCGTACCTATTACTTGGGGGAGCTGAGTATCCATTGCTTGGGGCAGCTCCGAACCCGTTGCTTGAAGTTTGTCCAAACCCATTACCTGAGGCTGCACCGTTTCCATTACTTGCAGCTGTTCCGAAGCCATTGGTTCCTGGAGCTGTGTAACCATTGCTTGGAGCTCCATTAGAAGCTCCAAATCCGTTACCAAAACCTCCATTTGGGGCTCCGTAACTATTTGAAGGTCGCTTGTCAGCGATGGCCAATCCCAGCAGGGCTGTAATGGACATAAATATAGCTTATAATAGTTAAAAATTTCAAGATTTTTCTAAATGATCTTTCCATTCCTCGAAAATTTCAACATAAAGAATCAACATTGCAATGAATATATGCTTTATTTACCAGTAAACAGCAGAACCTTCATGTTTGTCGGTCAGTAGAAATATGAAGTGGAGAGAGAAGTGGAGATAAGAGTCAACCTGAGAAGAAGCTGCTGGAATACGATGTTGGAGGTCGCTAGTCAAGCCTTTATACCCAGGCGCTCACCAAGCTCCGCCCACTCAAAATTATCTCCTTCCACCCTCGGCCACCCATCGCCCTTTCACTCTCACTCACGATCTCAATTTTTTAAGGTCACTCGAAGTAGGAGTTAGTGTGCACTACTTCGTCGTCCTCTAATATTTAAATTTGTTCTTGTAACTGCGGCTAATTCGCGTACCAAACACTGTTATTATTATATAGTAACACATTGTAACTACGGTAACATTCCATGATGCAACATACAAATTTCAGGAAGTAAATTACTCAACATATCTGCAGTATTAACGTTTGACAGGAAATTATAATTTTCCATCAGTGCTAAATCTATATTTGCTTTTAGATTTCGTGTTTTATTTGGCTTATTATCAGTTCAGTAAATATTTAAATGCATTTAGTTAAAGTATACAATTTGTCGTGCCTGCTAATCTCTCGCTTTCTACCAGTTACCTGGATTGTTTGTATTACAAGAACGCAATACCAGGATATACACGGATATTGCCAAAATGATTTGCATGCTTCAATTGTATTATTTGTTGTCTAAAATAGATTAAGGGACGATACCTGTGAAGTTTAATCTGATTGTATCATATCATTAGCTAAAAAAATTAAACACAAACTAATACAAAATTTAGTTAACAATTTATTTTGAAGAATTTCTTTTATATAATACAGATATAACAATACTGATATATAATATGCAGTGTGATTATAACACTTCATTAGCTTAAAGAATTATAATATTTAGTAACACGATCTTTTTTTATCTAAAGTTTACTACAAGGAATATCTGGATATTTTAAAACTAATACACGTAATATCTTAACCTAATACAGTATTACTGTTAACCTAAACTAAGGTAACAATCTAAATCTTATAAATTAAGGTGGTTAGTACAACATTTTGGTGTTAAGTACAACATTTTATTAGATTTCATGAATAAAGTGACACATATTTTCATATACACATGTATATGTGTTACGGTGTTTCCTCCGATACTTTTGGATGTCTCGTTTTATTCTTTGTCATTTTATTCTTTCGACATTGAAAGTGTAGGTGTATATCGAAAGGTGGGAGGCAATCCGTACCTTATATGATAACCAGTGAAGTGAACAGACAATTTAGACTGTGTTGAAGAAATGAGTGGGAGAGTGAGATTCAATTTGAATCCTAAGTGATGTTGAGCATTTTCTCTTCCGTTGTATGTGATTGCTGAGTATATTAGGATTGTTTAGAAACTTGTATATCAGGCGTGAAATTTAGAATTTATTGGTGTCATTGAAGAAACTAATATATATATATATATATATATATATATATATATATATATATATATATATATATATATATATATATATATATATATATATATATATATATATATGTCGTACCTAGTAGCCAGAACGCACTTCTCAGCCTACTATGCAAGGCCTGATTTGCCTAATAAGCCAAGTTTTCACGAATTAATGTTTTTTCGACTACCTAACCTACCTAACCTAACCTAACCTAACTTTTTCTGCTACCTAACCGAACCTAACCTATAAAGATATGTTAGGTTAGGTTAGGTAGGGTTGGTTAGGTTTGTCATATATCTACGTTAATTTTAACTCCAATACAAAAAAATTGACCTCATACATAATGAAATGGGTAGCTTTATCATTTCATAAGAAAAAAATTAGAGAAAATATATTAATTCAAGAAAACTTGGCTTATTAGGCAAATCGGGCCTTGCATAGTAGGCTGAAAAGTGCGTTCTGGCTACTAGGTACGACATATATATATATATATATATATATATATATATATATATATATATATATATATATATATATATATATATATATACATATATATATATATATATATATTAGAAATACGTAGAATATATTGTGCTGAATACAACTTCACGTTCAACCCTGCCCATATGTGCTCTAGTTGTTTTCAACTCTCTGAACTCTTGCTATCCAGATCTTAAACTAAAATTGTTCGGAAGAGAGTTATCAGTAATTAAGTCTGAAAAGTATCTGGAGTGCATTATATCCTCAAACGGCCAACTTGTAAATTTGTGTCAGACCTGAATGTCACAACAAATATCATTGAGTGAAACTCGTCACATTGATACTTTCTAGAAAATTGAGTTATTTAAGTTGATGTTGGCATGGATGTGAACTGTAGCACTGAGTGCTGACCTGGGTAAGCCGAACTGTGAATGAGAGGACATGTTCCAGACGTATCTTGGGCGTCCATCCTCGCACTCATTGTTACTTTCCACCTGGTCTGATGTCCACACCCACACTTAAAGACATAATTAACAAATTAAAGACATTTTTTCTGAAGGGAATCACACAATCATCCAGCAAACGCTACCAGCTCCTTTGTTTTCAGGCTGTTACTTATTAGTGGGCACTCACGCGTTTCGTGAAATATCAACTTGACTGATAGGAAATATAACTTAAGAATAAGTGACGTAACAGCGTAGCTGGTCCCCAGGGAGACACCCCCCCCCCCCCCCCCCGCAGCCGGATATCTGCAATTATGAAGGAATTACTGTCACAAATATATTGTTTATTAACAAGAATTTTAAATCCAGTTGTGGGTCGCATGACCTCTGTGTTCAGAGTTATTCTAATCCAGGTTAGCTTCAAAATTTATTGATGTTAAATGTTGAGGATGTGCAAATATATATATATACCTTCATGGTATAATTAGTTTACATTAGTCCTCCTTCAAATTGTCTTATCATTTTCCTAATTTTGTGATACACTAGCTGGGGTACTTGGCGTAGCTACGGTGAAAGAGGAACGCCGCATTTACACTAGACACGATCTTCATCACCAACCGTCGACGCTACACACGATCTTCATCACTGTAGCCAGCTACGCTACACACGATCTTCATCACTGTAGCCAGCTACACTACACACGACTTTCATCGCTGGAACTATTTTCACTACACATGGGCCTTCATCACTGTAACCATTTTCACCACACAGAACCATCATTACTGTAGCCGTTTCTAATACACTGCCTTCATTACTGTAGCCTCCGATACCTCCCATGACTTGCATCACTGTAACCATCTATACTACACACTACTGTAACAATATTCACTACACACTATATTCATCACTGTAACCAAAAATGTCGCAACATATAAGTGTTGAGAGCCTCCACGATGCAAATCTGTTATCAGAACATCAGTTTTATACCTCACGATCAGAATGCAGAAATAATTAATTGAACGTATGATCTAGCTCAATGGACTCAAGGCCGAACACGTCATCAACTTCAAACTATGAAGGGGAAATAGTGGCCAATTCCCATTAAAGGGGAGCATAGGGACCAGCCCCGACCCACTGTGACGGTCGCCATAATCAATCAGTTACCCCTGCAAGTTTAAGAAGGTGAACTTTAATGGTCAACTTTAATATTTTTCTGTAGTTCACTCCAGCAATAATTACAATAATTTTTAAATCACTGATAATTGTAACTACTAAATTTAAATCGTATATATATATATATATATATATATATATATATATATGTGTGTGTGTGTATATCACGAAAATAAACACGTGATTAAGAATGTGACAATGTCAGACCACGGAGGAAAAAATGAAACAGGAAATTTCCTTAAGTACTTTCGTATATTGACCTTCTGAAGATGTATTCAATATACGAAAGTACTTAAGGAAATTTCCTGTTTCATTTTTCCTCCGTGGTCTGACATTGTCATATATATATATATATATAATTATTATGACTCAGGTAAATAATGTACTGTAATTTTGTGTAAATTAACTGGCATTCATGAATAAAGGTATTGAAAGTAAAGAATTTTTAATAAAGAATTTTAAAAGATATAACTTTGTGAACAATTAGAACTAGGATAGGTTAAATATCACCGTTCTCTCCGTGAGATCTTGAACCATTTGTATCAACCATTTACAGGTCGTGGGCGAAGCATTTAGAAAGGTGCGCTACGAATTTAGGAATCAAATGAAACTCTATCCGATAAAATTGGATCTAAGTTGTAAGTCATATGTAAAGAACATTTATGTATAATACCTGTAATCATCAGCGATATGATTATAGGGATTATATACACGGAAAGATGTACTTGAATTTCACACACTCTTTGCGTTTTCTTTAGTTCTGGATTATGTTGAAGCATGTTGTATACTTCTTGGTTGGTCATACAACCCGTCCTCCTAAGATTTCCCGACGTCAAAAAAACGGTCAATTTAAAGTGTCCTCTCCTAATCTACCAGAGAACCCAAAACAGAAAACGGGACAGTACGTCACTTTCGCGAACCGCTTCCATTTTCTAGTACGGCAATTTTTGGCCCTATGTAACGCATACGAGCAAAATGCGACGTTCTTTGTAATAGGACAGATTGGATCATCACGCTATTGTGGTGGCCTTAATAACCCTCCTGATCCAAAAGTGTCCAGACCATCACACATACACGCGTGACACACTTATAATCACAAATATTGTTTCAGATGGGTAACAAATCCCTTGTAACACAACTATAGCAAGTTACAGTTACAGACAGAGCTGCCCACTCCCGGTAAGTTGCTAATTCTCTGCAAAGTGCTACTTCCTTTAATATTAAGTGGCCGTCTTAACAGCTCCTTAGCTTCGTGATGAACGCAACAGTGTTCATCAGTTAATTATTTTGTGTTTGTTTATACTTTTTGCATTTAAACTTCCTTCGCCCTGAAGGAACAGGTCATTATAGCGCGCCCAGGCGAGCGTTGCCTCACAGGACCTGCCGGCCACTCTGGCTCGTAATTATACTTAAGTGAATGTTGCCATGCATATAACGGGGCGTGTTTTACATGCATTGTGCCTTGTTTTGTATGCATTCAGCTTTGTGTGGAGACGGGGCGTTAGTGTGTGTGTGTGTACCAGTCTTCTTGTGTGCAGGGGCCTTGTTTTGTATAGATAT